AGGTAGCTTCGCGACGACTTTGTGCATGGTAGCGAGAACACTCGTCTGCGTGCATCTGAATTACAACCGACATTTTTTAATTGGAAATCTCAATAACAAGAGAATTTTATAAAATAGGAGCAGCTTGACTCTTGTATAAGCGTGAGACTTAGCGCATGTATACTGGATGGGTAAAGACTAGACAGGGTTCGCTTATGGAGGTGAGAGCTGTCAGTATTGACTAAAGTACACTAGTTCTGAGCATGTTATATATCTTTAACCCATGATGATCCTTGTTAGAGCGGTTAGTGAGAAGGAACACGGAAAGTTACACGCGGCGCAACCACATTCAACTGGCTTGGTTAAATTAGGCCTTGTGTGGGATCCGCCGACCTGAACTTCTGGAAGTTGGAGATCGACCGTGATCGTCTCGCTTGTTACGTCATAGATCACTCCGGGTCCAGTCATAGATGACAGTTTTAGCCAGCTTAGGGCATCTCCGACTTAGCTCTGATGATGGACGGTGGAAGCGTCGCGGATAGGCAGCATGTGATTATGATGGGTAATTATTCCCGAAAGGAAGTGGGAGCGCAGGAAGGATAGGCCGAGGTTTTTGGAAAAGGAGGGCGACAACAAGTTCCAGGCGTGAGTGGTAGAGGATCGTTTATTGGATCTGCAGGAGCGACCGACAAGATGCTATAATAGGGGCCATTCGACGTTAGCCTTAACGCACCCCTTAGATTTGCACATTCCTCAGATTGCTTGTACGAAGGAGGCCTGGATGCTCCGCTGATAAATTTAAGGAGGAAATCGAGTCCTGGTCAATCGAGGGATCTCGAGCTTTTTTCTCATCTAGCACACAACCGTTCCCACTTAGGCACGTAATTGGGCAGCCAAATTTTTGGACAGCCATAAACCAACAAATTGGTGATGAGAGCCTAGGTGTATGGTGGATTGGGAGTGAGCAGCGGGAAATAAAACGCAAGCTGAGAGTGGTGGGAGAATAAGCTGTCAAGACATTTTATTCGCATCGCACAGGCCTACAGTGCGTGAGATCGGATGATTGGCTTTACCGTGAGTTGCTGGAGCCACCCTCTCCCGTACGTCATAGGTTCCCTTTCATATAATTTCTACAATATGTACTAGTTGCGGGACTTTTTGGGTGGACTTCTCGGGTCACTCGTTTTTAAGCTTTTTGACTTCCGCATGGTTTTTGCCGGGGTCTGAAGGGCGACAGCCCCTCAACAGCTCTGTAATACATTCTTAACGTGCTGTTTAGCACAGTAAGGAATCGCAAGTTTCATAAACTCTCACAAGTGTTTTGGGAATCAATTTAGAAATGGGTGGTTTACTAAAATTTTGAAGTCTCAGAACAGCTGGTAGATGACCCAAGGAGGCGTTTTTAGTCTATTTACTTGCTTTAGCAGTTGATTCTGTTCCATAATTTCCTTTAACAGTCACTCTAGGACTTAGTTAGTCATTATTTAAAAGAAGTTACTTGGAGGGTAATTTAAGTAACCTATCATACAGGGAAAGACATCCTTCGTCTCTAACGCTCGGAAGTGCTAACTCTATAAGAGCAGGCTCTAGCCTAGAAATGCAGTCTTAGCACTGACGTCTAGCTATGGGCTAGATGCTAATGACCAAAGTTATGATTCACGTATCATGGCTCTGGTGGAGATCCTTTAGGTGATTGGAGCGAAAGTACTACTTAATATTTTATTAATTCTCACATATTATTTAGCATTGTTTCCACTACTTGTGAGTTTCAACAGAACCCTCGCTCTCTTCGTTTCAAAATCTTCTTAGTAGTTTTCTGAGACCGACGAACTAGTATTAGTCTTTGGTGAGTTCTGACCTTCTTCCAATTTTCGTCTTATGATCAAATGTAGTGTGAGAAATCATACCTAGGAATCAATTCATCCGGGTCTATATTTATTCATACTCTGTGAGTGTCTTTCCTTCCCGTGATTACAGGTCTTTTGCTCTTCGTACCTAAACACAGATACTAAACCAGAGCTCGAGACTTCCTATAGAGAATTACAGGAAAATAGAACTGAAAAGATAACAGATCCTCTTTTAAGTGATCGGACTGTCGAAAAAGCGTAGAGGTCATCAAACCGAGGCACATTTTAGCCGATTTTATCACCACGAATGGGAAGGGCTGATGCAATTCCGAATGGAAGAATAATTGTAGTGACAATAAACAAGATTACAATTAATAAAAATTAGTGTACTTGGGCCATAGCCAACCCTCATTCGGCCTTATCACGGAGAAGAGAGTTTCTACCACGACTCCCCGAGGTGTGAGGAAAGGAAAGCCGTTAGATGTCGTTCTTAGAGTGTAGTGGGAGCATGGAGAGGTTGACCAAGCGAGTTTTCTTTGAAGTTTATTCGGGGCGCCTGGAATGTCGCAGGTTGTTTTGGAGATTTCCAGGCTGGAGGTGGCAAAACCATTCATGATTGGAAGGTTGTCGCAGTGAGAGGCATGGTTGGACACCATAATTCCTCCAAATGGTGAGGACGGCCGCTGCCTTGTGCTATATGGGTAGCTAGGACTTACACGCTAATTCAGGGTTTATTTGATCCTCATCATGTAGGCTGCTGAGTGATGTATCTTCTACAACGGTCAGATTGTGCAATATGTTAAGATCAGATATGTCCATGTACACCATTGTGGGTGGGGACTGGGCATGGAACAGCGCAAGGGACGGCAGAGAGTAAGATCCCAAGAGACGAGGCTATGCAGGGGTTAAGAGCACCGAGGGAAGTCGACCTCTGTTATATCCCATGAACCAGTAGTGCTGTTTTGGAGCTAGAGCGGCGTTCGCACCAGGCGCCAGAAGAATCACCGTAATGAGATGGTTAGGATAGCTGCGCCGGAACGGTCGCTTGTGGTTTGCTCAAACCAAGGATATGGGCCTTGGGAAGGTCAACTCCGGTGGGGACAGGCAACCGGAGAAAATCTCTTCGTGATTTCTGATTACACACTAAGGGGGAGAAGTAGGCGGAAAAACAAGCCCTTACTTTGAAAAATCAAATTTATTTTCGACCAGGGAGGCGAGTTCGGCCAAGCCATGGAGGGGAAGAGAGAAAGTATACGTTAAAGCCTAGACGGGCAACATCGCGTCGGCAGAGCCACTCAACTGATTCTGAGCTCAAAAATAAGGCTGGCTAGTCTCCATTGAATTAAAAATTTGTCCCGCTCAGCATTTCACATATGGCGCCTTTGTATACCATGACCTTTCTTTGGCTAACAAAGCTCATTGACACTCTGTTCCCTCCGCACCCTGCGTGCTCACATTATCGGAATTTTAACCACCTGTTGAGAGCAGCCGGCATCATCTAGCAGATTCCTCCCGCCAATCATCCAATCCGTCAAATAAACGGCTTAACAGGCCAAGGCCGTTGAGCCAACCAGCCTCGCGGTTGCCTTGTCAGCCCCCCACCTTTTAGACCCACCTTGCCGATATTTCTGGTGTCGCCAAGCTTTATGAGAGTATCTCAATCACTTTGGCAGTGGTTGAGTTCCTGTCGAATATATAATTCAGCGCAATCCTACTGTGAAGGGCAAAGTGCAGTTATATGAGAATGTAATAGCAAGCACTACTGGTGTGACAATTTGATATGCGTTTCCCTACTCATGCTTCAAATCTATTATGGGACACAGGTTGAGATTCTAATTATAGGAATATAAAGTTGATTAGGAGAGATGGTCAGACTTTAATGTTAATTCCTCATTTATGCATCCATGGGCCCCACTTTAATTAACATTACTTCTCTCTTCCAGCCTCCAGTGCTCATGAGCCGAGCTCCTTGCTGCGCTTGTGGGAAGGGTGGGAGACTCTTGAATTTGTGCACAATTATTGCTTTATTGGTCGCTCCCCTTGTTCGGCTGTGTGAGTTTTAAGTGGGTGTCAGAAAAAGGTCTACGAAGGGATTGGTTCGGTTTGCGGCTTTTCTCACTCACGCGGGGAGATTCTTCCAAGGGAACCTGGATATGCTTTTCGGAAGGGAAGCGAATCTAGACTTAGCAAGGGTTTGCGCGTCGTCCAGTCCCAAAGTCTGCCCTGGCACCGGTTTTGGAGTCCTCCCTTCCCCCTAAAATGGGTGGGCTGTTGTGGCTCAGCATTCCAGGCCAAGGCAGCCTGCGTCTGCACCATTGGAGATCTAGAATTGCTGTCCAAACACTTCCAGCACCCGTAGGCAGGCGCAGCTGTCCAAGGAGATTATGGAAATGTTGTGTTCTTGCTGTCCAGCGCTGCTAGAAGTTCTCCAACACGTCCTGGAGAAGGAATTCCAGGCCGCCGAATACACTTCAGGGAAATCGCTGTCAAGCAAAATCGTCATACGGTCCGGCACCTAGGGGTCCCAAAGAACCTTCGGATCCAGGCTCCTTCTCCTCTGGAGCCGACCCTCGAGGGTGCGAAAAAAAAAAAAAAAAAAAAAAAAAAAAACAAAAAAAAAAAAAAAAAAAAAAAAAAAAACAAAAAAAAAAAAAAAAAAAAAAAAAACAAAAAAATAAACCAAAAAAAAAAAAAAAACAAAAAAAAAAAAAAAAAAAATAATAAGGTGGAGACTCTTCTCCGCTAAAGCCTAGACTAGTTGAGGCGTATGGGCTCCAAAGGTGAAAGTTCTTTTATTAATTCGTGATTCTTGTTTATTGGTCGTAGCGTACAATTCTTCTTTGTATTTTCTTCAATTCATTGGTTAATCGAATGTCGCTCTTCGTTGCCTAAGCGAGTTAAAACTAAGAATTCTTAGGTTCACTCTTTTATTACAAATGATAATTTTAATTTGGATTACTTTGTTCAAATTGCTCTCTATAATTTCCTAAAGTAACTCCATCGCATGTACGTTTCACATCATGGAATGTTTGATATTACTTGTTGATCTAAATTGGAACTTTTTTTGGTAGATCTGCAACAATAATATCTGAATCGGCATCATTGGCTTGTATAATTTTTTGAATGCAAAATGCATTTTTTCACTGACACCATTCTATGTTCTATATTTTGCAGGCAAGTTGTTCAAATTTTTCATTCTCACCTGTTTGAAGAATTCTCCAAGTTAGATATCAGCACACCTCAAGCCAAGAATCGGTAAGATATATTGTATATTCGGTTTCTTGTAAGCGCTTCATCGGATAGTCTTGAATGCATGTCTTTTTGTATGCCAGACTTTACCGTGATGTTCAGGTTATACTCGGATGCATACGGAAGTTGCCCTCTGATGATTCAAACAGAGATCAGGTGCCAAACTATGGTCTGCTTGATGAATTCCTGGCAAAGAAATTTGGAGAGAAGGAAGTTGCTACCCATTCAAAGTAGGAGCTGACTGTATTATAGGCAGATTTTTTTTGACACTGGAGTTGGAACACCGTCAGGTCAGTTTTGACTAATATCATATTGTTGTCCTTACAACTTATTTTTACATGGTTAAATTTGTCTTTTTTGCTCTGGTTTGGGATCTTTAAAAATTGAATCTTTAACATCATCATCTGCAGCAGCATGATCCCAAGTAGCTGTCTGTGTCAGCCCTGGTATTAATTTATCTGTGAAGAGCTGCAGTTTTATCCATTGCTTAGGCTTTGTTGGGACGGCTTTCTTCCTGCTTCTTAAAGCTATTTTTAAGTACAAAAATTAATTTTCTTGTACAAGAAAGCCGTTTTAAGAAGCAGTAAGAAAGCCGTCCCAAACGAAAGCCTTAGTGTGAGGTTTTTGAATATGTTACAGCCTTATGCTTCGTTTGGGATGGTTTTTTTCTTGCTTCTTAAAGAAGAATTTTAGTACAAAATTTCTAATTTTTTATTAAAAAGCTGCTTTAAGAAGCAAAAAGAAGGCTGCCCCAAACAAAGCCTAAGTTTTGTCTTACCCCTTTGCATGCCTAGTCACGATCTATGTTAGAATGAATTAGCCTTATCTGAAACTATGAACTTTTACTATTCATCCTTAGCTCTAAATTATATCTATTATTGCAGTATTTCTTCAAATGTGCTTCTTATATTTGGGTGGCTAACATTTGACGTATTATTTACTGGTTCAAGTCAGTACTCATCTTTAACCCTTCCACAGGAGTTTCTTCCACCGCTTCTTGATAAAGAATTTATCCAATGAGATTGCTGCTTAATTCGTGAAGGTCTTCCTAGAGCTTGCTCTGAATTGAAGTATTCATATTTTACTAGCTTTTTTTGTTTTTGTTTTCATTGTTGTATTTTTCTTCTTTGGCCGTTGACTCGAGCTATTTGGTCAATCAAGCCTTTTTGGTTTGATGGTTGTGAATAAATTTCAGCTGGGTAGATACAAGTTTATGGAACAATTTCTCAATCTCTTAATGTATAGAACATTTTTGGCACTTGTAAAAAAACTTATGAATTGCACTTGAAGGAAGCCCCTTCAATTTGAGTATTAGGAAGAAGAAGAAGTCTCTTTATTCCCCTTTTTAAATTATTGTGGTGGTTTTTTTCTGGTTATTTTGTTTCATGGGTGTGTATATATAGAACAATTATTACGTCTTCTGACCGGACGTAGAGCTACGTTCGGCCGTCAATAACATGTCGCCACGTGCTCTTACTCTTTACCGCGCGGCCCGACGACTTGACCCGGAGCGGAACCCGGGAAAGATATGTTCGCGATTTTCTCGGTATTGCTCGGTATTTGCTAGGTATTGCTTTGCAAAAATGAGAAATACCGCTCTGTGAAGTCCAATACCATGCAAATACCGAGTTGTACCGAGTTTTTTTACAACTCGGTACAACTCTGTATTTGCTCAGGATTTGCTCGGTATTGCTAGGGATTTGCTCGGTTTTGCTAGAAAAAACTTGGTACAACTCGATATTTGCTCGGTATTGCTAGGTATTTGCTCGGTATTAGTTATTGCCTAGCAAAATCGACCAATACCTAGCAATACCGAGCAATAATGAGCAATCTTGGGTCCGTTCCGGGTCGGGTTGTCGGGGCGGGCGGTAAATAATGAAAACACGTGGCGCGATTCTACTGGCGGCCGAACGTAGAGTTGTGTACGTTCCCTGAACCAAATAAAAGTTCGTATATATATCAATTATACGAATTGTTCTTGAAGAAAATCTCTGGTGTTTGTTGAAGGATGAATCATCTTTTATTTGTATTTAGTATATATGTTTATGACTTTATGTGTGTCAGTTACAATTGGAATATTTAGGCTTTATTTGGGATAGCTTTCATATGGTTTTTTAAAACGGGTTTTTAAGTATAAAATTTTTAAATTCAAGAAATTTTGTATTACAAAGCTGTTTTAGAAAGCAAGAAGAAATCCGTCCCAAATGAAGCCTTAGATTGCTTGCTTTTGAGAGATTTTTATAAGCACTAAGGCTTTGTTTGGGACGATTTTTTTGGTGCTTTCTAAAATAGTTCTTTAGTGCAAATTTGTATATGAAAATCACTTTAGAAAGTAGTAAAAAAATTGTCTCAAACGAAGTCTAAGCTTTTAGGCTTCTCTTGATTTTAGAATGTGCAATCAGGAAAACCACTATAGGAACAACTTGTATGTAGAATTCTTGAATCACAAGTGTTAAAAGCTTTGTTGTGGTTAGGGGCTGATCTTATAAATTTTATTTAACTATTAAATTGAATGCCCCCAAGTAGGGGTGTAAGTGAGCCGGCTCGAACTCGACTTGTTAACGAGCTCTCGAGTCGAGCTTAACGAGCTTCGAGCTCGAGCCTACAATTGACTTGATATTTCTTAAACAAGTCGATCTCAAGCCCACTTATCGAGCTCAAACTCGAACTCGAGCCGGCAAATACTCGACTCGACTCGTTTACACCCCTACCCCCAAGTGGGCATAGGAAGCCCATAATTTAATGTCTTAACAATCTATATTTAGATATCATAAATACTAATAAGAATTATCTTATTTAATTATTCAACTAGTAAATTATCTCATACCTAATTATCAAAAATTATGAAAAAAATTAATTATTCATGTCATTCACTTAATCAAAACATAATTATTTATATTGTTTTTATAATTTCAGAAATAACTCATTTCCTTCTTAGAGTTTTCCAGAGAAAATATCACCGCACACCGCAGTCAAATGCAACCGACGAGAGACACGTGTACGCATTAGAAAACCTCCGCTGTCCAACCTTGTGATTGGACCGCCAGCTGAAAGCCAACCACCACGTGCCCGATTCTTACATTGCTTCTTTGCAGAAAAGACCCAACAGATTGCCAAATTTGCGTTTGCAAATCTTTCAGTGAAAATATAGTTGAATAACTTAAAGAGTAATTCGCAAAATAAATATATGATGCAAATAGAGGGAAAAAAAACTCATTAATTAGGCATAACAATAGGAATAAGCTATTTTTGCCTGATTTTGCTTATGAAAATGATTTAATAAATTAGTGAATAACAGTGGAAGTGAATGTGTAATTGATGAATTTACATTTCTATTGGCTTTCTTTGACGTTTGCAAAATCATATGATTGCAATTTGCAATGCTTCATCAATCATTAAAAAGGCTTAAATTTCTTAACAATAAAACTTAATAAGTGTAGGTAATATATTTGGATATAATATGTAATATTCTTTAAACTAAATGCTCATTAATTATACATGTACCCGGGTCGGGTTAGGGTTGACCTGTTTGAACTCGGGTCAGTTCGGGTTCGACCCGAACCCGACCCGTGACCCGAAATTGACACCCCTGCATCAAAGGAATACTTTCAAAGATTGCTATCCTGATCGAATTCCATACTTTGAAACAAATGAGTCCATAGGAAAAGGGTGAATCACTATGACTATTCCTCTTAGGAAAAAATCATATATAATAACGACCTTTAAATAACAAAGAAGTTAGGAGGTGTTTGAAAGGGCTTAAAAAAGGTGATAGATAAAGGCGAGGAACTTAAAAAAAGATATAAATGATCTTGATTAGGACTTCATTACTTTATCATCAAAAGTTATCAAGTTTAAAAATACTTAGATGTGATAGTAGTTTACTCAACCCAGTCATGAGATGATCTATTAGTAAACATGGATAGCATCGCCTATAGTTAGCCTCATGATTTCAAATTGAGGAAAGAAAATGTAGATTTTCTAAATAGATAAATTCTTAAAGGTAGACCATAAAGGATATGAAATATATATTCAAAGATATTCAATTGAACTTATATTCTTATCCAGGTCAAGATAGTTACTACATTGCATGCTAAGTTAATGCCTAGACATATTGAAATCTATATGTATAAATACTAGCTCCATCATAAGGAATTTTATATGCATGCAAGTAATTGTTATTTAGAGAGACATCTAAATGTGTTTGAATAGAAACATTATGAACATGTACTAGGGTTTGAAGATTTTGATCGCTGGTAAGTTCTAATTATTAGACATCTCCTAACTATTTAGTATTAAGGTACTCCAAGATTTTGGATTGGGAACTTTTACATGTACCTTAAGACACATACAAATTTTTTTTAGAGTTGATATATCCTCAAAAAATTATCTTGATCGAGCACGTTTCTCGAGGCAAAATCAAGTTGGAGACTTCAAAAATTAATTTTGAGATCATCTGCTTCGATTTCAGCAAACTTACAGTCGAACTGATCGTCTCGGAAATACAAACCCAACGACACCAAATTCGACTCAATCCAAGCCCAAATGGGTCTGAATCAAAGGCCAAAAGCGATGTTGGAAGGTTCAAAAAACAATTTGAGTTACCAAACGGTTTCCAAACATGACGTACTTATAGTCGAATCGAGCGCCTCGACGAGAAAAATCCAACGAGCCTAAGATAGCCGAATTCTGACATCATTAAGACTTTCAAATATCTGATGAACGGTCCATGATCAAGGGATTCAATATCGGCCGTCCATCCAAACCATTCCCTAATTGCCCTTGATCCTCTACCTATTTACAGGCCATGCCACTCCAGAAATCTATAAATAGACCCCTCATTTCTCTTGTGAAGGGGGCCTAAGCAAGAAGAAGAGAAGAGAAGAAGAAGAAGAAGAGAAGGATAGGTGGGAAGAAACTCCTCCTCGACCACCGCCGTCAGAATTCTGCCCGATGCCAGAATTTTGCCCGACTTCCAAGTGACGCTGGAATTCTGCCTAACCTCCAAGGGAAGCCGGAGTTCTATCCGATTTCCAAATGACTCTGGAGTTTTGCCCGAATACCATCCAACACCAGAATTCTCCCCGGCCTCCAACTTATGTCAGACTTTTACCCGACTCCGGGCATTTTCTCGTCGCCAAATTTCTACCCGACACTGAACTTCCGCCTATTGTTGGACTTTCACCAGACATCTATCTGATGTTGGATTTCTGTCAATTACTGGACTTCTACCTAACGCCGTCTTTCTGACCTCTGTCGTCAGACAACATTCCTTCTGACTAATGTCACCAGCCGACTACAGTCCTTCTGAGCTTCATTGCTAGTCGACAATGGTCCTTCAGACTTACGTCAACCGCCAACTATTGTCCTTCCGACCTCCATCGCTAGTTTATGGTCCTCCTGACTTACGTCGCCCGTCGACTATAGTCCTTTCGACCTCCGTTGTCAGCCGACTACGGTCCTCCTGACTTACGTCGCCCATCGACTACAGTCTTTCCGACCTCTGTTGCCAGCCGACTACAGTCCTCCTTACTTATGTTGCCTGCAGACTATAGTCCTTCCGACCTCCGTCGCCAGCTAACTACGGTCCTCCTGACTTACGTCGCCCACCGATTACAGTCCTTCCGACCTCCATCGCTCACCGACTAAGGTCCTTTTGATTTACGTCGCCCGTCGACTACATTCCTTCTGATCTCCATTGCCCGCTGACTACGATCCTTCTGGTGTACGTCGCCCACTGACTATGGTCCTTTCGACCAAATAAATGTATCAACAGTGATGCTTTTGTATTCTCACCATGTAAGGTACTCTATAAGATGTACATCAAGCTAAGGCCTTCCCCTGAGGAAGGACCTCCTTTGTAATCAACTACAATACTAGTGGATTCATTTATGCTGGGCCAGGCCCCGTGTTTTTCCCCCCTTTTTAGGTGTTTTCCATGTAAAAATCTTGATGTCTCTTATGAACGCTGCACTCTCTCTTATCTGATTGCGTGCCGAATTTTCGTGCAACGCTAAGGCGTTAAACTTTATATTTCTCAATCGCGGCGAATACTCCTGGATGCAACAAGAGTAAAATAAAGTTAAACTAAAATAATTAAAGTTGCTTAATAAGCCATTCTGGTGCATCAATACGTATGAGTAAAATCAAGAGAATATAATATCAAAGCAAAATATTTGTAATAATACTTGATTAGATACATTTTTTATACATAGCCCCTCTAAAAGTAAAAGAGTAATGGCCATGTGTCATACACCTACTAAAAAATGGCTTTATTATATCATTAAAAAGTAGTCATACTAACTACAAGCACTCATTTGTATTCTAACTAATCTTATA